GCCTTGTTACTGGGCTTCGTCTAGTTTGACTCAGCCCTAAATGAGTGGCCGAGAGCAGTATGCAACGCAACGACTGTTAGCGAGCATTCATTAAGGTCAGCACAGCGCATGGGGGTATGGCGCACTGTACGTGGCTAGCGCCACACCTCACTGCTTCCGTCGTTGATAATCACACACTCACAACAAAAGACAAAGATCCCCCGTGTAGCCTTGACAAACGGCTGGGGCAGGTGTTGTTAGCGAACACGCCACACGAGGGGGTGGGTGGCCAGCACAATGCCCGGCCGCCTTTGTCTCCCCTAGTGGCGATGTTTTTACATACCGCACCAGGTACTCTTTTGATGCTAGGGGAGGCCCAGGACCGGTTCAGATAATCGCCACTGGTGTTGGCCGTGAGCGGGAATCGAACTCGGGTCACCCCTACACTACCGCTCCCCACAAACACACGCACACACTACACCAGCAGTACCCATTCAAAGCCGGGTCGATCTAGGGGATGCCTGGGACAGGTCCAGGTAACACGCCATGCATTGTCTAGAATATCACGCGAGGTGTCTGGGGGATGGTAGCACAGCGCGCGATGACCACCGCTCACCATTCAACGATCCCCCGTACAACCTGACAGACCTGACAGGCCATGGGCTGTTAGCGAGCGCCTACGAAGATCGGTGCGACGCATGTGGCCAAGGCTTGCCACGTCAAATACAATCGGAGCGGAGTGGTGCTGAAACGGACAGCGACCGTCGACTGCTGACACGAGCCCGGCTCAGGACCAGAACGAGAAGGAGCTTCCGCGGATTTCTATTTCATCTCAATCCACTTTAGAATCGAGTTGAAGGAAATGGTGGCGACGGGAGTGTTACGGACGAACGGCAATCATAATCATTATAATAATGAAAACGCATGTTTCTAAAAGAGTAGGGAAAACCCGGAGGACCTGGACAAAAACCCACACGACCACGGGAGAGAGAGAGAGAGACCATGCAAACCGCAAATAAACAGCAGCAGGCGTCAGGCTCGGGATCGAGCCCACGACCTCCTGCATACCAGGCGAGGTATTCAAAAATCTCGCTACCGACTCGCCCAATGAGACGTAGTATGACGACTCCGTTGCCCGACTGACAAACACGAAGGGGGCATCGTCACAGCCGTGATTCACGCACCACTCCGCTGCTCCCGCCGCGATCATCTCGGCTCAACCACCTCGGCGTTAAACGACAGCGCTCCTCCGACGTCAGCCATACAAAGCGGGCGTTAGCATCAAATCAATATTATCCCCTTACATCCATCAATTCGGGGTTCTCCACACAACAAAATGACCTTATTTCATGGGCTTCAAATAAAGGTGCTCAAGAGTTAACATCACAAAATGTAGGGCAGTGGGTAACTGATTTCAGGTGAACTAATTTGATGAAGTGCCCCAGCAGTTGCGTGAGAGGTGGTGGGGCCGTGGGAAGTCCTTCATTGAGCAGTGGAAACACAACAGCTGCTGCTGATGATGATGATTACATTTATAAAACAAGAACGGAGAATTGATCGTGATGACACGACCCACTGATACAGTCCGTTACAGTAATCACAAGACCACAATTACGATGGGCCCACCCATGGTGAGCAGTGGGGGGGGGGGGGGTGCGTGAGTGCGTGTGTGGTTGTGTGTTTGTGGAGAGCGGTAGTGTAGCGGTTAGCGTGCTGTGCTATGAACCCGGCGATCTGGTTTCGATTTCCGCTCACGGCCAACACCAGTGATGATTATCTGAACCGGTCCTGGACCTCCCCTAGGTCGACTCAGCCTCAAATGAGTACCTGGTGCGGTGTGTAAACATCGCCACTGGGGAGACAAAGGCGGTCGGGTGTGGTGCTGACCACTCACCCCCTCGTGTACCGTTCCGGCCTTCATAGGTGCTCGCTAACAGCACTTGCCCCTACAGTCTGTCAAGGCTATACAGGGGATCTTTGTCTTGTGTGTGTTTGTTCCTCGCAAACTGCACTTGCCCCAACAGTCTGTTTAGGCGATATGGTGGGTTCATTGTATTTGTCTTGCAGTGGGGAGCGGTGGTGCAGCAGTTAGCGCCCTGCGCTTCAAGCCCAGAGACCCGAGTTTGATTTCCACTCACGGCCGACACCAAGTGACGTTTATCTGAACCCGGTCCTGGCCTCCCCTAGAGCGACTCGGCCTCAAATGAGTACCTGGTGCCGTGTGTTTAAACAAAAAAAAGCATCGCCACTAGGGGAGACAAAGGCGTCCAGGCGTGGTGCTGGCCACCCACCCCTTCGTGTGCCGTGCCGGCCGTCACAGGTGCTACTCGCTAACAGTTCTTGGCCTGCTACAGTCCGTCAAGGCTACACGGGGGAGAGATGAGTGGGGGGGTTCTTTTTCACAGTGACACATTCCTGCCCGAAGATCATTACCACCCGAGTTCGATTGCCGAACACGCACAACCATCATCAGCGGTGGCAAGCGCGATCAAAACCTGTTGCTTTGGCTTCCTCTCGATTCGCTCGGCCCGAAGTGAGTTTCCGATGGGCTGCTCGCGAATAACGGCACGTGGAGAACACATTAGATCGTGCGGTGATGTTCGCCAAACGACAACTTTTTGGTTTTGTGCCCGGCCTTAATAGGTGCTCGCTAACAGCACTGGACCCAACGCTTTGCATGGCCATGCGAGGAATCTCTGTATACGAGTTGTGAGCATGTTACGTGCGCTTTACAGAATGCGTGCACGCATGTACGTGTGTGTTGAACTTCTTCCGCACCGTACGTAGCCAACCTTGATAATCGGAGGTGCGGGGAAATACCGGAGTGGTGCGATTCTAAATTAAGGCCACCGGCAAAAAGAGATGTGCGTGCAGACGTGGATGCGTTTACGTTGACACAGTTGAGATTAGCAAACGAATATGTAAATCAGAGATCACCAGCGGTCAGGGTAGGCTCGCTCACTGTGCAGTGGCAACACTGAATCATGGTACTCATGTCTGCCGCGCTGGGTAACTCCACGTGGACCTTATTAAAACATTTATTTACCCAAGAGATTGCGACATTTCCATTTTTTTTTTACAAATCAACACGTGTCGGCATTTGTAGGCAGCAGACATTTAACCGCACTTGCCTGCCACTTAAACTGCTAATTATTTTATTTTCTGTTTAACCGGAAAACATTCGCTGAGTCTTGACACTAAATTTCAAGAGGGTCCTGCCTGTCACATGAGGACGTTTGGCCAATCCACATGACTCTGTGTGCTTGGATTCGCGTGGCATGAAATACAACGATGAAATACACAGAGTAAACCGAGACATGCGAATTGGGTGCCACTCCACGTTTTGCACAGACAGATTCAAGAATCCCCATTGCTGTACAGCTGGCAGGCATGTCCTTGCCATCGAGAACAGCCCACACCGACAACCGGCACCGCTAGCCAGTCTCAATCCGAATCGTAACCAACCTCAGCCCTGCTTAGCTTCCCAGAGCGGGGTGTATTGAAGGTGAATTTGGTCAACATTGTTGGTTCGGTTCCCGTTTTTAATCCACATAGTAAAAAAAAAAATTCTACTTGGGATTAGCAACATCGGAAAATGTATTGTTGTTACTTTCTGCTCCAGCGCACAGCGCCGTCTGCTGATAAGTATGTGTCAAATACCTCCCGTACGAATCCCGCACGGGCAAATCGCCGCCACGCATTTTCAGATAACAAAGGTATGCATAACACGTTACATGTGTGTTGTGTGTGTGGTGTAGCAGTTAGCGCGCTGCGGTACGAAACCGGCGACCCCGGTTCGTTTACCGCTCACGGCCAACACCAGTGACGATTAATCTGAACCGGTACTGGGCCTCCCCTAGGTCGACTCAGCCTCAAATGAGTAGCTGGTGCGGTGTATAAACATCGCCACTGGGGAGACAACGGCGGTCGGGCGTGGTGGTGGCCACCCCCTCGTGTACAGTTCCGGGCTTCATAGGTGCTCGCTAACAGCACTAGCCCCTACAGTCTGTTAAGGCGAAAGGGGGATCTTTGTCTTTGTATGTGTGTGGTGTGTGTGTGGTGTGTGTGTGTGTGTGGTGTGTGTGGTGTGTGTGTGTGGTGTATGAGTGTGTGTGGTGTGTGTGTGGTGTGTGGTGTGTGTGGTGTGTGTGTGTGGTGTGTATGTGTGTGTGTGGTGTGTGTGTGGTGTGTGTGTGTGTGTGGTGTGTGTGTGGTGTATGTGTGTGTGTGGTGTGTGTGTGGTGTGTGGTGTGTGTGTGGTGTGTGTGTGTGGTGTGTATGTGTGTGTGTGGTGTGTGTGTGGTGTGTGGTGTGTGTGTGGTGTGTGTGTGTGGTGTGTATGTGTGTGTGTGGTGTGTGTGTGGTGTGTGTGTGTGTGTGGTGTGTGTGGTGTGTATGTGTGTGTGTGGTGTGTGTGTGGTGTGTGTGTGGTGTATGTGTGTGTGTGGTGTGTGTGTGGTGTGTGTGTGTCGTGTGTGTGTGTGGTGTGTGTGTGTGTGGTGTGTATGTGTGTATGTGGTGTGTGTGTAACTCGACTGATCAGGGGAGATGGGTCCGTCTCGCGTAAATGCGTCACGAATCTCCACGTGGGGGCATCGCTTCGGCCCCCACCGGCCACTTGCAAAACACCGCACGGGCGGGCAGCACCACCCCCCTCCCCGCTTGAATCTCAGGGGACTCCCAATCGGCACGAACATCACAAACCGGCACTGGACACCGGGCATCATCAACAACAACATCATCATCATCGTGAGAACAGCAACAAGAACAATCACAGCAGCGACATCCAGGGCTGCGCACTCCACGCTGGGCACGTGCACGTAGAGCCACATGCCACGTGGGACCCCGTGACGACCCCCCCACCCCCCCCCCCCCCCACCACCACAATTCACATCGCTCACCGTGGGAAGCCGTCTTTGTATCCCTTGGCCGTGCGACATTGCGCGGCTGCTCCTGCTTGCTTGCCTGCCTGCCGCTGTTTGCTACTGCAGCGGTGCGTCCCGAGGGGGGCCAAAGGATACACTCGCAAGGCGCCTCCGTGTGTCCCCACCGCCAGGATCTTCTGCACCGGGTCGAAGGCGAGCGCCGTGGGTTGATGTGGGAATCCGTGTCTCACCGTCTACGGCCGCGTACCGTGAACAAGAACGTTTAAAGGGACGTCAACACAGAGAAAGAGAGAGAGAGCCGAGGGCAGACACCACCGACCCCCCCTCCACTCCCAACGAAGACAGCGGCGAGGGACGGTGGTGATTAATGCGCGTGCGTTTCTGCCGGATGTGTGCGGTGCTAAGTGCACTGTTACACCGCGGGGACGCCTTCGTCCAGCAGTGGATTGATCATGGCTGCCGGTGACGCGTCCCCAACCGGCGATTGTGATGAAATATGCAGAGGGGTTGAAGGTCAGTCGGCCGAAACGTCCATATTTCGCTTTTGCTCAACCGACGAATCGGCTGCTGTCCGCTGAGCGAGTTATCCGAAGTCGCAGTGACGACGACGGCGACGAATCGAATGGCGCTCCGCGTGCCGTCGTCGCGCTCACGCGAAAAATACGGGAGAGTAGAACCTTCGTGTGTGTGTCTGTGTGTGTGTGTCTGTGTATGTGTCTGTGTGTGTGTCTGTGTGTGTGTCTGTGTGTCTGTGTGTGTGTCTGTGTGTGTGTCTGTGTGTGTGTGTCTCTGTGTGTGTGTCTGTGTGTGTGTCTGTGTGTGTCTGTGTGTGTGTGTGTCTGTGTGTGTGTCTGTGTGTCTGTGTGTGTGTCTGTTTGTGTGTCTGTCTGTGTGTCTGCCTTCATAGGTGCTCGCTAACAGCACTTGCCCCTGCAGTGTGTTAAGGCTATATGGGGATCTTTATCTTTTATCTTTGTCTGTGTGTGTGTGTCTGTGTGTGTGTCTGTGTCTGTGTGTGTCTCTGTGTGTGTCTGTGTGTGTCTGTGTGTCTGTGTGTGTGTCTGTGTGTGTGTGCGTGACTGTGTCTGTGTGTGTGTGTCTGTGTGTGTCTGTCTGTGTGTGTGTCTGTGTGTGTGTCTGTGTGTGTGTCTGTGTGTGTGTGTGTCTGTGTGTGTGTCTGTGTGTGTGTCTGTGTGTGTGTCTGTTTGTGTGTCTGTCTGTGTGTGTGTCTGTGTGTGTGTCTGTGTGTGTGTCTGTGTGTGTGTCTGTGTGTGTGCGTGACTGTGTGTCTGTGTGTGTGTGTCTGTTTGTGTCTGTCTGTGTGTGTCTGTGTGTGCGTCAAGTATCCGCGCCGTGATGCGGGGCACGGCTGGGCGAGGGGCAGCGCCGCGAGCTACGGTTCGGTTTTTTTTTGCCGTTTGCAAATAAACCAAAATAAAAACAACGTGGCACGATACGGCACTTTGATGCGAGTTCATTGGTTCCGCCCGTCCTCGGGTGGGTACGGGGGAGCTGTGGCGCAGCGGTTAGCGCGATGCGATGCTGCGAACCGGGACAAATCCGAGTTCAATTCCCCCGAGGACGGCCAAAGATCCGTGGCGCCAGGCCATCTTATCCAAATCGCTTGTGGCCGTCGTGGTGAAGCAGGCCAAAGACTACTCCCTCCCCATCGTCCAGGAGCGGATTGCCAGAGCGAAGTCTGTCCATGATTATTTGCGATTATCATTTTTGAACTAAAACAAAACATCTTCGCCTATTGTATATGTTGATAGTTTACCTGCGAAGGCTACGCACGGGTGTAATTATTGATGAGCGTGTTGAGTGATTTTTGTTGTTGTTAGTTGTGCTTTGTGCAACAACCCTGTCAACACAGCAGCAGCAGCACCCAAATAATTCATGATTTTTCTTTTTTACTTACTTGCTCTTAGAACTCGACTCGGCTGTGAGTGAGGCTTACGCGTGTGGGGCTTGCGGCATTGAGGTGCGCGTGCGTGCGTCTTCGCGCGCGCGTGCACGGGAGGAGCGGTGGCGCAAGCGGTCAGCGCGCTGGACCGCAACCCCCGTGAGACGAGTTCGATTCCCGCTCACGGCCACCCAACACCGCTGGCGATTAACCTGAACCGGTTCTGGCCTTCCCCTAGGTCGACTCGGCCTCAAATGAGTACCTGGTGCAGTGTGTCAAAAAAAAAACATCGCCACTAGGGGAGACAAAGGTGGCCGGGCGTGGTGGTGAGTCACGCATCCATTCGTGTGCCGTGCCGGCCTTCGTAAGTGCTACTGGCGAACAGCAGTTTGTCCCAACAGTCTGTTAAAGGCTACACGGGGTGATCTTCTCTTTGTCAGTATATACAAATGCGTGTGTACGCGTGTGTGCGCGCGTGTCTCGCGTTATCGTTCACCTTTGATACTTGGAAGTGTTCCGAGGCGAGGCTCTCCGCGATCTCGCTCTCGGGCTTGCTGGGGCTCTGCGGGGCTCCCGGCGTGGTGAGGCCGTCCAGCACCTTGCGGAAATTGTCCGTGAAGCGCTTCATGGCGACAAGGGCGACGAGCGGGCGGCGGGGAGCGAGAGAAATTCGCCGTCGGCCGCAAAAATTCCGAGGATATTTCAAAGGGGGGGGGGAGGGGTGGGGATAAATAAATGAGCAATTCCCCTTTTAATTCGACTACATCGGAGCGCTGACAAGTGCCGTCCCTCCTACTCCTCCTCTCCCCTCGGCTTCCTCTCTCGTGAGCTATTCGCCTCTCCCTTGCAGTAACACGCGCACAGAAGACGAGCGCGCGAGATGACCGTGTTCGTCTCGCGCCTCTCTCCCTGTCTCTCTACCCCAGCTCGCCCGCCGTGTCAACGGTGGTGAGCCGTGCGCTCCCTTCTCTCTCCCTGAGCACTTCCCAGCCCGTCCGCCTCCCTCCCTTTCCCCTCTCGCCGTGTCGCTCCTTCTCCTCTGTCGCGCTCGCTTTATGCCGTGCACGCTGGGCGCGAGAGAGAGAGGGAGGGAGGGAGGGAGTGAGAGCGGTGGGTTGTTCAACCACACCGCACGTCTCGGTCGTCATCCGCAATACCCATCCCCTTCATCCCCCCCCCACCCCCAATTGGGTAGCGATGGGTCGTGCTGAGCCCCCACCACCCCACCACCCCGCACCATTGCGAGAGACGAAGAGGAGGAGGGGGAGGAGGAGGGGGGGGTTGATCTCCCTCGTGTTATGCGCATTGCCACCACGGGTGCGCGCTCTGCACCGGCTGCGTCTTGCGGATGACGGTGACGATGGCGTTCGAACACGTTCAGCGGATGGATGGCACATGTCGAGAGCGGGGTCTGCTCGTTACTCCTCGATTGGGACTGATACATCGCAATCATCGCCACCCCCACCCCCTCTCCCGCTCTCCCCTGCTGGCAGACTAACACAGCGAGGTCCCTGTATCAACACGAGACGCAGCGCGCTCTCGCTCTCTCTCTCTCGAGCACTCTTCCTCCTTGAGACGCCGTCGACGTGATGGAACAGAGAGGCGAGCGCGCGCGCGCGGTGTTGTGCATTCGATTCCGTCCTTGCGTACGATGGCAAAATACGCTCAGCAGCTCATGCCAACGCCCGCAGACAGCTGCTCGTGGTCGCCACGATCGTTGCCGCTGGTGGCGACCGCTCGCCCGCTGGGGCGAGGCCTGTACTGTATAGCCACCTATACCGCTCACTGCCTCTCTTCACTCAGCACTCAGAATCAGAATTTATACCGGAGGAATCCGCTGAGCTAAAAATCCCTTTTTTTTTTAAAGATGTCCAATATAGCTGGGCACTTACTCCACAATTACCCTGTTGGCCCATGGTCGCGTAGCGATGGGACAGGCTGTGGGAACGCCCACCTCATCCAAGCCTGGGTTGCCAACCGTCCCGGATTGACCGGGAGATTGGACGGGGAAATAGCATCGATTTCCTGGTGACGATTAAAAGGAATCCCGGGAGATTTGTTCTCGCAAGAAGATAGTTGAAGAAAATTGAGTACAAAAAATCATAATTCGCTAAAATCTCCCGGAATATCTTCAGTCAGAATTTGCGACCCTAATTCCAGCGTGGGAAGAGCAGACAAAATACAAAATACAACTCTGCTGATGACCCCTCCGGAGGAGGAGCAATTGTGGAGCAGGGGGGGGGGGCTACGGGGGACGGGGGGGGGGCTGAGTCCCTCCACCCCCCCGCCCCCCTCAAACCGACAGCTCAGGCTGCCCCACAAATCGTGCAGAGCAGCGGCTCTTCTGAACCTGGCGGTGCACGCTACACCCCCAGGGAGTGCAAGATGCCCTTTCTGGGGGGTGCGAGACGCGAGGCAGGGCCAGACTTATTTGTTTAAGAAGGTACATAATCTAAAACACCAACGGAAGCATGGACACGTAAGTTACAACTTACTTTGTTTCGATAATTGCTTTTTTACCCTTTTATCTGGCAACAAAACTGACACCTTTTTTTTACAAGGAGTCATGTTTGCATTGATCACAATACCTGCGGTCGGAATGCAAACAAAAAACACAACTCTGATAATGTATGCACTGTCCTTGAAGTTGATTGGTCCACACCTGAGACAGCTTTCCTTAGAGCCTAGTCTCACATGGTGTTGGACCAGATGACGCCAAAAGGCGCACAACTCAAAGACAATGCACCATCAGAGTATGAGAGCTCGGGGTCAGCATTTACACCATTGGAACCTCCTTTGCCAGTAGCAAAATATGATAATTGTTTTTTTACCCTTTCATCTGGCAACAAAACTGACACCTTTTTTTACAAGGAGTCATGTTTGCATTGACCATAATACCTGCGGTCGTAATGTTACTTTGTTTCATCAAACCCTGCGTAGTTATTAACATTCTCAGGGGTTTGCAGGATGCAGTCAAAGGTTCATCACCGATGGTGTAGTCCAAGCAGAGCATTTTGATTGGATAAAGGCTTCACAAGCACGGCATCACCACCACAAAGACAAAGATCCACCGTAGAGCCTTAGGATACTGCGGGGCAAGTGCTGTTAGTGAGGAGCAGCTATGAAGGCCGGCACCGCACGCGACGGGGTGGGTGGCCAGCACCACGCCCGACCGCCTTTGTCTCCCCAATCGCGATGTTTACACACTGCGCCAGGTACTCATTTGAAGCTGAGTCGAGCTAGGGGAGGCCCAGGACCGGTTCAGATCATCGTCACTGGGTGTTGGTGGCCGCAGTGAGCGGGAATCGAAAATGGGGTCACCGAGTTCGTAGCGGAGTGTAGCGCTAACCACTGCACCACCGCTCCCACAACCACCAGCACCACCACCACCACCAGCACCACCAGCACCAGCACCACCAACACCACCAACACCACCACCAACACCACCACTCCCACCGCCACCACCAGCACCACCAGCACCACCAACACCACTCCCACCGCCACCAGCACCACCACCAGCACCACCAGCACCACCAACACCACCAGCACCAGCACCACTAACACCACCACCAGCACCACCACGAGCAGGCCATTGCCTGAGACACAGAGTGGGTGAGAGAGGAGAGAGAGAGCGACGCCATAGACACACGCAGGTCGCGACGTTACTCACTGTGTTTACTTAGCGTCTGACATCTGTTTAAAGTTTGTTTAGCATTGATTGTACCCCCCCACCACACCACCCATGCCCCCCCCCCCCTTTACACAAGGTAACAACACTACAGAGTTGTTGATCTCCACTGTAGTGTGTGTGTGTATATCGACATACACAGACACGTTTCGTTGATGCTCACTCACAGCGACGTGTGGACATCGGCTGCACTGCGTTCGCGTCCCATGGGCCCGGCCAGGAAGGGAAGTCGTTCCATCGCCCCGGCACCTGCGATCAGCACGCTTGGCTACGTACGGTGCGAACGAAGTTCACCGCACGGTGCATCTACGCTCGAGTCGGGACCACGGACAGCGGCAACGACGTCGTGGTAGCCGTGCATTGACAGGGCCGGTGAAGGGTGGATCGTGTCGTAAAACTCCACCGCTCGCTTACACCGGGGCTTATCACAACTGCACGTGATCAAAGTGGGGCTTTCGCGACCAATATCATCCATAATACAGGGGTTGTTTCGGGGGGTTAGATCGCGTAAATATATATAAATGTGTCGTTAAACCCGCCACCACCCGACACAGCCAACGAGTAAGGTTTGTTACGTAAACAGAACGTTGCCGATTCGTCACGAGTACAGCAACACCGGTTGTGTTATGGAGAGCCAAGCCACAACATTTACAATCTGAGTCCGACGTTTCGCCAGTAATGGGCCGTCCATAAATGACGTCACGCACCTAGGGGGGGGGTGTCAGACATTTGTGACGATGTGTGACGAGGGGGGGGGGTGAGAAATGTGACGTCACATCAAAATGCGTGGGTAATGGTGTGGCCTGAATGAGCTCATAGCGCAGTGCGGTAACCACTCGAAAGAGGGCCGTTGCTTGAAACGTCAGCCACGATTGTATTTCGTAGTTAACTTATTCGCATGCGTTGTGCAAGCATGTACAACATCCTCCTAGAACTCGTAACATCCGAGTTACTGTGAAGGGTTAATGATATTGCGAGTTCGTCCATGGACTCAAATGATCCGCTTCGGTTGTTGATACCCTCATCAATTGAAATGAATTTGTGTCAAACCTGTGCTGTCCGTGTATAATGTTATATATATACAGGGTGGTCCAAAAGTCAGGACACATATGGTTGTTATAATTACTTTAACAACTGGAATTAAAGCATTTTCATTGTTTATTCTTCAAGTTAATGTCGTATCTATTGTCGCAATTAATACCTATTCTCTCCTTCCTTTTCACGTGACATTTAAAAGTTAAAATAAAATTGTCTGAATTGAGACACCTTCTTCACCAAATACTTGCGGTGATAAGCGTGGTGAAGTATGGACACCCCCCCCCCACGACCCACACAACGCGTGGGAGGCCTTCATCTAGCAGTGGATTGAGAATGGCCCTAAATTGCCATTTAATTGGACTGTATTCGGTCCCAACTTTGGCTTTGTGCCCCCATTCTCCCGAGAATGTCATTGGATATTTACATTGGCCCGTCTCAGAATCAGAATAAGTATCGCTACTGGAGGAATCCGATGAGCTGTAAAGCTCTTCATCACAAACGCCTAGAACGCAATGTGAACAATTATCCGTACGATCATTGGCGACACGTGTATACACGATACCGTGTTGCCTCCGAAACGTCGTGATTTATTATTTTATTTCTATTATTGCTAAAAAAAGAATCAAATATATTTTTGTATTTTTTACCTACGTGACTTTACCGAAATAACCTAGAGCATGAATCCTTGCAGTCACAAAAGCTTTAAATCTAGAACGATACCGTTTGTAGAAAGAAAAAAAACGTTTCACATTTATTAACCACCACCAATGTGTACAGCCACACATCTGTCTATACAGCCAGCCTGCAGCTGGAGTAGTAACACAGGCTGCAGCTAGAGTAGTAACACAGCCTGCAGCTAGAGTAGTAACACAGCCTGGAGATAGAGTAGTAACACAGCCTGGAGCTAGAGTAGTAACAGCCTGGAGATAGAGTTATAACACAGCCTGGAGCTAGAGTAGTAACACAGCCTGGAGCTAGAGTCATAACACAGCCTGCAGCTAGAAAAGTAACACAGCCTGGAGATAGAGTCATAACAGCCTGGAGATAGAGTTATAACACAGCCTGGAGCTAGAGTAGTAACACAGCCTGGAGATAGAGTAGTAACACAGCCTGGAGCTAGAGTAGTAACACAGCCTGCAGCTAGAGTAGTAACACAGCCTGGAGCTAGAGTAGTAACACAGCCTGGAGATAGAGTCATAACAGCCACAGTGATATTTAGAAATTTACCTACTTTCAATTAGACAACGTGGTGTGTATTTGTGTCATTCCTTCACATAAAGTCCTGGTCACAAAAGCAAAGTTTGTAGGGAATGATAATAATAG